AAAAAGTTATGCATGGTCTAAAACCTAAATTTCAATTATCTGATATCAAATTTTATCAGTCGTATACAGGGTTTGTCGAAAATAAAGGTATTTTATCTTGAGAGCAAAATTATATTTTTTGACAAACCTTGTAAAACCGACTGATAAAATTTGCTATCTGGTGGTTGCATTTTCTGTTAGACCATGCATAAATTTTTATGAAGAATAACTTTTTTTCGTAAAATAAATAATAAAAAAGTTTTCCATTTGTTATCAACTTACATAGACCTACTGTGTGTATGCAACTTATGACATATTGCTGAGATAATGTTTTTGTAAGAAAAAAGAAATTAATCATAAAATTTTACTTCATTTGTAGAGTCGTAATTTATGTTTTCATATTTCTACTTTTTTTGTCAATTTAGAATTCCAGTACTATTTTCAATTATAAATAAAAATTACGTATTTTAGATTAATCAATAAGAAAAATAAGCATTTTTGAAATATTAATAACTAAATACAAATTAAACAACAAATTAATAAAAAAGCATTTAAAACACGTTGACTGCCGAAGCAAATGTTGTGGTTGGGTCTTAGTAAACTACAATATCTAATAGACGCATGAATAAAATATATAAACGCGGCGCGAGATTAAATTATTACAAACATAGGTCGCGTGCATATATTGTGAATAATATATTCAGGTTGTCCCATTAGTGCATAATTGTTCAATATTTTAATTTGTGTTGTAAACACGTATACAATTTCTAAATAAAAGTTATATGCATTTTAAAAATAGGTATTTTAAAGATATTTTTAGACATACAGGGTTTTGCGTTTTTGTCTGACAAATAAAACGGTATATTTTTTAAAAAGAAATCCCTGTATTTTACTTCAGTTTTTGAATGCTTTGGTAATGCTGTATTTAACCCTAGAATTTTATTAACAAATATTGCAGGGTTGCCAATAAATTAATTTTTTTTATGAAATTAGAGAATGATTCAGACCCCAAATTAAATTATCATTATTTAGGTAGGTTTAAAATAATTTCAATTTTTTTTTAAATGTAGTAATAAGATAGTAAGCTAACGAATAGTGGTAATAGAACTGGATTATTTTGTACAGTGTGTTTTGAAAAACAAGTCTTAAATATGGCTAATTCCAAGTTAAATTTATTTAATTTTTTTCAAATGCCACACCCTGTATATTATTTAAGCATTCAATTCCTTATAAATTAACATATCCAACGATATCAATAACACATATACAGGGTGTCCCATGAGTGCGTAATTGGTCGATAGCAGTTTTATAATAGGAAATACGAAAAAATTAATATAAAAGTTGTATGACCATAATTAACAGTTATTTATAAATATACAGGATAATCCATAAACGATTGTCTGACCAAACCTATACATTTTTAAAGTAAAACTTGACTGTTTTCACATCGTTTCAATAATTTCAATTTCATTCATTTGCTATGTTGTATATAGGATGTGTGAAAATGGTCACGATTTTCTTAATTTTCTAAATGGAACACCTTGTATGTTATGCCACCAATTAATATAATATTCCATTGAAAAAAATTTAAGCATATGTAACCTCGCGTGTTGACACACTCTATATAGAACATAGCAAATGAATAAAGTCAATTAAAATTATTTGACGACGTGAAAACAATCAAATATGTATAACTACCTGCAGGGTGTTTTGATTTAAAAATGTATAGGTTTGGTCAACATCTCGTTTATGGACCACCCTGTATATATAGGAATAATTTTTAATATGGTCATATAACTTTTATATTATTTTTTTTTCTTATTTCTAATAATAAAACAGCTATCGATCAATTACGCACTGATGAGACACTCTGTATATATGTTATTCTCTAACATGTTGGTATCGTTGGATATGCAAATTTATAAGGAATTGTATGCTAAAATATTATATCAAATGCTGCCTTTGAAAAATTGAGTAATTTGACTTAAAAGTAACCATTTTAAGACATGTTTCAAAACACTCGCTATAAAAGAATCCAGCACTATCACTACTATTCGTTATCTTAATGTGCTATAAGTCAGTATATTAAACAATTTTGAATTATGATAATTTAATTTAGGGTCTGCATTATTTTCTAATTTTATAAAAATTTAATTGCTTGGCAGACCTGTAATATTTTTTTAAATTATTCTAAGGTTGAATACAGTATTACCGAACCATTCTAAAATTGAAATAAAATACATGTTCTATTTTAAAAATATACCAAGCAAAAATGTAGCACCCTGTATATATCTAAAAATATTTTTAAAATATGTATTTTTTAAATCCATATAACTTTTTTTTTAAACATGTTTGCGTGTCTTTAACATAAATTAAAATATTGAACAATTACGCACTAATAGGACATACACATGGGTACATACACATAGCAGTCAACGTGTTAACTCAGAAATAAGATTCCTTATAAAGATAAAATAACATTCAGGAGAAAAAAGCAAAGACCGCCAATATTACGTGCGTATCATACAATGATGCCAGGTCATTCGGATTTAATTTACATCGGAATGCAATAAAGTTCCTTCCCTTTCCTGCATTTCACTATTGTATATTTCACCCACTTTAAAATCAAATTCGTCCTAGAAGGAATTGTGAAATTATCGTATAAATCGATAATCTGGCAACGTGGTCAACACTTGTTCATACACAGGCAAAATCAATCGATAATTTGGAACCAAACGAGACAAATATATATGAAAAGCACGAAACAATAAAAGATGGCATACACCTGTATCACTGTTTCAAAAATTGGTACCTCTAAACAATCATTTACCCATTAAAACCATCTCTAAAGTAGAATAGCTATACTGTTTTTTACGGTGACATCTTCTTAAAAATAGATGAACTACATGAACTGTACACAATTACAGGAATTCATAGAAAATCTCTAATTTGACAAATAAATTTATCAAATATTTGTTAATCGTATTTCAAGTTAGATTTGAAAAATACGCAATAAAATTTAGAAATATTTTGGCGGGATACTTGGAAAAATATGTAGAATGAAATCTCCTACTTTTTAGCCTCTGGTTTTAAAATCACTTTTTATGATTTTTTTTTAAATTCAGTGTATAAACAGGACAAATAAAAAATAGGAGATTTCATTCTCCAAACCTTATACTTTAAGCTGGTAGAAGATTTATTTTAATTCATTTAGCGGGATTTAAATGCAATCGGAAATGGTGAACCCTTGCTTCTTATATGAGAAATACAGTGATACTGCGGCCTTAATGTTAAATGATTCATTCAGAGTACGGAACGCTCGGATCATTAAGAGACTCGAGCCGCTAAAGCCGCTCGAGCCGTACCGGTAGGCGATGCGCTCGTATTGTTCGGAGCTGCGTTGTAGCGTGCTCGAGCTGTAATTTTTCGAGCTTGATCGCGAGCGCTCGAACTTTACAAGCTCGTGCACATCCCTACTTCAAATATTAATTTTTTTATTTCACTTCCGGGTTTCATTATCTTTCTTATACCTAAAGCGATGAATTAACCAGATGTAATGAACTTTTTAAACTCCTTGAAATTATAAGTTATAACGACAAATCGGCAATGTTTTGCAAAGACTTGACCAACAATCATGCTACCCGTGTTTGATAAAATGTTTTTAAAAGTTCCACATATTATTGTAAAGGCGCACCTTACAGAGCTTTAAATCTATCGTGCGAATATTAAATGATATTGTAATGCGAGCCATTTCATTATTCAGTCATGCTCAATCCTCCAAGTCCCTCTCTGTCTTATTTGGCCTTTGAGACTCAACTTGTCCGATTATCATCATAATTAAATCCCTTAAGACCAAACATATGTGACGGCTATGGCGAAGGCGCTTTCGAGTACATTCCAGATTGAACGTGATAATGTTACTAGTTTTGGCGAAGAACATTCTATAACCTTCACCATAATTATAAATGTATATATAAATATTGGTGGAGGAACACGGAGTCAGTCGTACACAAACAGTTGTGAAGATAAATAGTGAACAGTTTAAAGACATTCGAAATATATAAATTAGAATAGTATTGTTTTAAAATAAATAAGTGTTCAAATAAATTATTAACAAATAAACTGTTGTTTAAAATAAACAAACGTAACAATATTATGGTTCTATTAATTTATTTTTAAACAAGTTCAATTCAAGACTATTTTTTTGTTAAAGGCTTATAAGTTAATTATTCTAATTATATTCAAAAAGTTTCATAAAAAATACGTATGAATAATTGATTTATGAGTATAATAAGATATTTTTTTCTTTTGTGCGAAAACTGTAAATTCAAAATTTGGCAAAATAAATCATTTTACAAAATATAGTTGAAATGGGTCTAGGAGTTTTTTAGTTTTAAAAAAAAGTTTTTCTTGTTTTCCTCAAAAAACACTTGAGCCATTTTGATTAAAATTTGGGAAGATACTAGCCAAGATCTTATATATACTCATGAATTTTTTGAAAATTTTTGAATTTGTAGTTAATTTTTCCGGAAGTCCACTTAAACCTTAATTTTATAATTGTTTTATTTTAAAATTGTACTATGATTGCTGTTTGATTTAATTGCATTTTTATGTTGGTAGATCTTTCTTTTTTAAAGTTATTAATCTTTTGTTTCTACGTTTGCCAATCTTTTTATGTACTGAGTGATATAATTGAGATCTCCAAGAATATTATCTTAACTTGCATTATTTTTTAATAAAATTTTATTTTACGTCATTGATACCATCAGGTACAGAAAATTAAACGCAGACCATCTAAGTCAGATCTATTAGAGACGAGCATCAGTGAGAACGAGGTTGAAGTTGTACGTACCGTGCACCACGTTACATAATAGGCAATACGCTGCTCAGCGGTATTTGTTTGTTTCACGCGTGGTCCTATTATACCTTGTCCAATCTATTGTAAAAGACATGGTCCGCGTTAAGATTTCCGCACCTGTATATTAAATGTTATAAAATGCGAAGAAATATGAATAACCAACCTTTAATTATCAATTGGATCAGTCTGTCATTTTTGGCGGTACAGTTGGAATTCCCGTCAACGGCTCGCCTGTCACCGGGCAGAAATTCCGAAACTAGTGGAAAAATTTCCCGAAAGCATTGAACGCGCGCGTTGCTCGGGTTCCAGTCTTTATAGTGTAGATGGTCTGTGAGTCTTGGGAGGGTGAGTAACAGACACAATGTGGAGTATTCTTCTTTCGATGCCGAATATTTTTCTAGATCGTTCAATACCCTTACGACTTCTTCGACGGCGTTGTCGACGGAGTTTCCTGAAAAAATAATTTAATTATGTCAATTAGGGATGTTAAAATTACATTACAATTTAACATATTATTCAGTTGCTGTTATTGTGTCGTAATTTTGCAATAAACGAAAATATGCATTTTTCAGAAATTACGATTTATAACATGTGTAGATCTTAAATCCGAATATCACTGGTTTAAATATGCATTTGGTTTTCAAAACAAAAGTATAAACTGCGTTTTGGCCAAATTTTAATTAACAATACTATAAAAAAATTATAACTTCACACTTTTCTGTTATGAGATTTCTCAGCTCTTCCTTATTATGAAATGGCGTTGGAAAAAATAAAATTTTTGATATATGGCCATACGAAAAAATAGCATATTTTGAAATCGCGAGACCTAGTTGGATATGGGATTTCTGTGTTCCTGCTTATTACTGTTATCAAAAAATATCCATCTTGTTGGAAATACCCATTTTGTAATTCCTCATCATCCAGTTTACTTATGAGTGGCCCGAGTATATACCTAATTGTGATATTGTGCAGCAGTACCTTCAAAAAAATAAAAATAAAAGCGTGGGGTGCTTGATGTTAATTGTTATAATATTTTAATATATTGGTAAAAGTAGAGTCATTATGGAAATATCTTAAAAAGCACCCCACGTTTTTTACAATAAAATAAATTTTTTTGTTAATCATACTATTCTTAATTTAAATTTATCAAAAATTATTTTCTACTTTTTAGTTTGATTTTTTAGTTTTTCAAAGCTATTTTTAAACAGATTTCCTGTCGTCACCGTTGTCATTTTAAGTCACTTACCATCAGTCTATGTTTTTTTTTACTCAAATACCAAGAAAGATACGTTTTCTGCATGAGACAAAAAAAATGCTACAATTGCTCTCCATAAAAAAAAATTGAGAGAACAGGAGCGGCCATCAAAAAAAAAAAATACGATGTCATTTATGTAGGATTAGAGTGATTTTTACCCTTCCATGATTTGAACAATGACTCTTTAATTAAAATGGCTACATACCAAATTTTATAAAAATCAAATGAAGCATTTTTGAGTTATTAAAAAAAATTAATTTTTTTTTTTAATATTTAAAGCTTCCTCACAGGCAAACGAAACACTTTGTGATATAGGTAATTTTGACTTAATCGACTTATTTTGTTCTGACACCCTGTATATCTATTAAAAGATATGTGGGCAAAACTATTAATATTATCAAATTTCATCGATAAAGAATAAAATCATAAATTTATCTTTTATTTTGTATTTAGCTATGCAACAATTTCTAGAACATCGATGACACAGTTCTAGTAATCTAAATCACAAACTGATTTTTAAATTCAAGTTTTTAATTGCCAAACATTCAGTTTCACTTATAGAAACTAAGCCACTAGGGTTATAATATAAAATTGAATCAGTATTTTAAAGAAATCATCTTCTTTAATAAACCGTTTAACTTGTTAATGTTTCTGTCATAAGCTTAAATAACATATTTTATTAACTAAATTCAAATGTCTTAATTGGATTTAATGATTCTTGTTTCCTCTTTTAATTACGTTATTGACACAGTGTCATCTAATGTCGTAAATACCTTTTATTATCTATATGTATCGCATTTTGATTCTTAAAAATTGCTCTATGCAGTAATTAAGATGTTTGTAATATTTGCAAATATTGCAATGAAAGAAAGGAATTCAACGCTGAGAAAGATGGTATCAATGAAATAATAATTTTTGTTTGTGGCATACAGAATACTGTCTGTAGGAATCTTTAGTTGTATTAAGTACTAAGTAGGGATTTTAAGCAGGGCGATATGAAAAGTTCAAATCTATTTTTATTTTTTCGAAAAGAATACGTCAAAAGTAATTAAAAAAAAACTATTTCAAAATCGTGCAGATACCATTGAAAATTGAGTTTTTTTTTAATTTTCCTATAAATTCCATCCATCATCTGATCCTGACTAATTCTATATGGGACCACCCCTTTCTAACAAAAGAAGATCATAGAAATCGGACAACATGGTAAAGAATGTAGTTGTTTGTTTCCAGGCTGTTATGCCATGGTCTTTCTTGGTTATTACTACCAAACGTTTCAGCTGCGGTAACCATCTTCGCTCTGAGTATAGTGTTTATATGAGTGTCGGCACCCGCTATTTTTGCGTGACTGGTATTAGGCGTTTTTATTTTCGCGCGTTTTATTGATGTGTGCTAGATCCTAGGTAATGTTTTTTCTTTTCTTTCTATTGAAGTTCTTTTGATGTTTGTTTATTTCTATAGCCTCCAAGTGTAATCTGGTAATGTCTTGATGTTGCTAGTAGGCCGGTGTTTTGGAAAAGGATCTCTGTCGAATGTGTGCAGACTTTTCTGTTTGTTCTAAACGACAACTTCGTTTGTGTTGTGTTATTCGTGTACCAATGCACCTTTTTGTTTGTCCTATGTATACTTTTCCACAAGTGCATGGAAATCTGTAGAGTCCTGCTGATGTGAAGAGGGGGTCTCTACGGCATTTAGCTGTCCAGGGTTCAGGGATCACCAACTTACAACCTGGACAAACATCTGGCTGAAATTCTACAAAACACAAGTGGGCAAGACAAAAACCTACGTGCGAAACTCTATGCACTTCATCGAACACTTAAAGAGTATCACCTTAGGGCCTAACGAGATCCTAGTCAGCTTTGACATCATCTCTTTATTCACTAATGTGTTACTCAAAGAAGTAGTCAGCTACATAGGGGAGTTTTTTCCAGAGCTCATCAACCTTTTCTGACACTCGCTCACAACATCATATATTCAGTGGAACCAAACATTCTATGAAAAAATTGACGGAGTTGCCATGGGCAGCCCACTCAGCTTAGTTCTGGCCAATTTTTACAAGGAAAAACAACCGAAGCATTGACTGAGGTATGTAGATGGCACATTTACAATCTGGAACCACGGGAAAAAATACCTCCAGAATTTCTTAAACCATCTACACAGTTTTAATGGAAATAAAAGAAAACCGACAAATTCCTTTCCTCGATGTGTTAATCAGCCGAGAAGACAATAAACTAGGTCACAAAGAATACAGAAAGAAGACACACCTGATCGATACCTACAATATGGATCCAACCAACATCCAAAACAAAAGCGTACGGCAATCAACACCTTAGTAAACACGTTAAGGATATATTTGAACCAAGACACATCAACGATGAAATGAAACACCTGACAACAGTTTTACAAGCAAACGGATACAGAAACAAGTATTAAAATTAATTTTAAAAAACAGACTTCAAAATCGTGCAGATGTCGTCACCACATCTTAACCAAATTTATATGGGACCACCCCTGGTACCCCCTTACTAACAAAACAGAAACATTGAAATCGGACACCGTGTTAAAAATTAACGCTGAACATATATAAAAAAAAATATTACGACGAATTGAGAACCTTCTCCTTTTTTGAAGTCGGTTAAAAAAGACATAATCCGTGCTACGTGCCCAAAGAAGAATAAGAACAAGTCTAGTGAAGAACAAAACCAAGGAACTGTACGTCACTGTACTGTCACTGACCGAACTGAGAAAATCCTAAAGAAAAAGAAAATCAGCACTGTCTAGAAGCCAACAAAGAAAATAAGTCTACATAATTCCATGCACTTGTAGAAAAGTATACATAGGACAAACAAAGAGAAGCAGTGATACGCGAATAACAGAACATAAACGAAGTTGTCGTTTAGAACAAACCGAAAAGTCTGCAGTCGTCGAACACACATTATCCGATAGAGAACACAAGATCCTTTTCGAAAACACCGACCTACCAGTAACATCAAGACATTAATCGACCAGATTGCACTTGGAGGCTATATAAATACACAAAAATCAAAAGAAATTCAATAGAAAGGAAGAAAAAACAACATTAACGATCTGTCATAGATCATTAAAAAGTGCGAAAATAAAACCGCCTAATACCAGTCACGCAAAAAGCGCGCGCTGATAGGCATATAAATACCAGGAGGATTCAGTTTCAGTTGATTCGTCAAGAAGAGTACTTTGTCCACGCTACTAAAGATGGCTGCCGCAGTTGCAGCTGAAACGTTTGGTAGTAATAACCAAGAAAGACCACGGCATAACAGCCCGGAAACCATCAATTACATTGACGCCGGCCGTGAAAGCCTATTCTTTCATGGTAAAGAATTAGAGCTGACTAAACATAAAAAATTAAAGTGTTTAATGATTTTTTCATGGACTCCATTATTAGACCTTAACCAAATTTATATGGGACCACCCCTAAGGTACCCCTTTCTAACAAAAAAAAAAGAATTATCGCTGAACATACATAAAAAAATATTCCTGCGAATTGAGAACCTCCTCCTGTTTTAAAGTCGATTGAAACCTCCCTATATTAATGATAGCAATATCAAAACGTGACAGACAAAAAAACACATTAGGGAAAATGTCCGGTAATGAGACGCTTATGATCGCAATAGAAACATTGCTCCTGCTACTTTTAATTGGCCATAAAACTACCAAGTTTGATCTTTTAAAATGGCTAAATTCTGAACATTAAAGAAAAAAAGAAAAAAAAAACAAATATATTTTTTTATTTAACTTTTTTGAGCTCTAGTGGCCAAACGAAGCAAGTTGGTATATAGGTAAGTTTGGTTAAATCAACTTATTTTGAAGCCCATAAATCTGTCACAGCTCCATGTACACGTAATTTCCGGACACCCTGTATATTTTTAAAGTTTTATATGTCCTTGTAAAACGTTTTAAATATAAAATGATAGTTTATATAATAGGTTAGAATTCAAACTATGCATAGGTGTCCCAGTGACATACTGAAGACATTAAAATGTATTAAATTTTATATTATTAAATAGTAATTTTAATGAATTTTTTCTTAAAGATAAAACATTCTGTTAATTATTTTAAGAAAATTTAACATTTAACCCATATGGTAATCATTTGGCTTATTTCTATACGGCAGCGTAGAAGGGGCCACATTTTGTAATTTTTTTTTTATTTCTAAAATTCCG